GCACATCGATCATCATATCATTTGTGGTTTTGTACAGTTTTGTACATAGTCAGAAATAAATTGTAAGATTCACTGTCATTTTCCCCAACGAGAAACGTTTGCTTTTCGTTTGTGACAATTGTACCATATTGTACGTTTTATATGTATGCAAATGTTTCAATTACGTGAAAAATATTTTTCTCTGTAAATTTTCATATCCAATTCAATTAAAAAACCTATTTATTTATTTTTATTCATTGTAGCCATTCGTTTTGTATTTAGTTATTGTATATATGTACATACAAACATATATTTTTCTCTGCACGATTTATTTCGTTTGTTTCGTCTGTAACTACTAAACTACTGTAGTGTACTATCGCCAATGTGAACTCAGCCGGTTTGTTTTCGTATTGTACCGAACTGTTGAAGTAATAAACGAAACGAAATAGTTTTGTAAACTGCAAACTATAAAACATAATATGTACATAATATATTGTTGTAACAGTAATTGGTAAATTTTCCATACAATGAATACATGCATGTTAACATTTTTTTGAATTTTTTTTGCACAAATGTTAAATTTTGAATTGAAACGCTTGCAGAGTATGTACTGTGAATTATTTTTAAAAAGACGCCTGTCAAAAACGCAGCACATAAATAACGCAAGAAATAAATTGTTTTAATTTTGAATTTTCATAACTCGCCTTTACGCCAAAGTAAAAAAGTCTCGTACGTTTTTTTCTACAAATTTATTCCTCCAAAAGTTATTCAAGATTAAAGTGGACATTCTGATACATGCATACGTTGACTTAAAAACGAATTTTAAAGAAGTTTCAAAAATTAACAAAACGGTCCTGTGTCATTAAAATGGAAAATAGAAATTCAGTATGAGCGACTTCTAAATCTTATTATTTTTCAACCGGTCTAATGCATCAGTATGTATGTAAATATGTACCTATGTATGTAGTTATGTATATCAATCAAGTTGAAGTAGCCAGCAAGAAATTTTCGCATCTGTTTCTAATAGAAAACTAAGCTACCAATCAGCTTCCATTTGTGATGTTTTTTTTTTTTAATTTTTCCAGTCACATATTTTTCTTCGAATTTCTTTTTTAAATGGAAATGGAGCTACTTATACTTCATTTGTTTACTGTTAATTCTGGTTGCTACTCACCCATTGCATACTGTGTGGGTGACACAGTCCTCTGTACCTCTGCAGACTGACAAGCTCCAAATTATTATGAAAAATTCAACGACACATTGTTATTGAAATAATTAGCCTACACAAAGTTATTATAAGGTAATGTATCTACCCATCTGTTATTGTAAAACGCCGGCAAATAACGAAAAAGTTTCAGATGTTGATTTTTTTAGGACTTACCAGGAAATTATTTTGGAAAATAAAAAATTGCGAAAATTTCTACCAGAAAAGATATTTAACAAGAGAGATATAAACCATGGATCTTACTTATTATTATAGTAACACTCGACTGGCCGGAGTGAAGAAACGGGGACCGAATGTGAACTTTTGTCGCCCACTATATGCATTTTTGATTTTCATTAATTTCTCAGCTTCCATACAAATATATGTATGAATGTATGTATGTACATACATATGTATAGGCATATCTTTGATCAAATCTCAATACAGGAATCAAGTACAATGTAACTAAAAATGCGCAGTAAATTTTCAACCCATCTGACCCAATTGGTTCCATTCTGTATCTATTGGGTCAACGGCGGAATAGATATATACGCCACGCGTAAAATAAAAATGCTCACTCTTTATGCACACTCCCCATCATCCGCATCCAGCCATACCGACATGCATGTTGTAGTAAATACATTCATATGTACATAGTTATGAGGGTATGTTGTTTATCGAGCTTGAAGACTACATAGTTTTGCGTAGCCAATATACTCAACAAAAGCAAGCAAACAGCGCTTTTTTTGACTTTTGGTGTTGAGAACGTGGCATAGCTCTAAAAAGAACAGTCGTCGTCTTAATATATTTATCGTATGCAAGTCGTTAATTCACTCCTAAATTGTGTGTGCACATATTTGTATATACATATGTACTCGATAGTATAGTGGCTCATATTCGTAGTATACTCACAAGAAGTTGAAAAACCATCCCTCTAAAGATTACTACATTAGGGCTATTCGCGATTCGGTGCATAAGAGCTGACAAATTTATGCAATTGCAGAAATATGCCATGAATTGTGAGCGACCTTTATTAAACTGTCATGGTAAAGCTTTTGCAAAACAATTTTTGTGCATCAGCTTTGGTTTTGTTTATGAATGCAATGCATAGCATTTTTATGCTATGGATTTTAGGTATTGCAAATTTGTCAAGCCATGGCAAATGCAAATGCGTGTATTTTGTTTGTGTATTGCAAATAATTTGCAATACAAATTTGCATTGCAATGATGCTAGGCCATTTGCACCGGATCGCGAATAGCCCTATTCTTTTTCACTTTTAATTTGCCACCCTTGAAGCCATGCTCTGTGTTTGTTCATTGAAAAACACACCATGTTCATTGTACATTGTTGAACATTGCGGCAGTATAATATCCACATACATACATACGTATGTATCTACATATATATGTTCATATTTATGTAGGCAAATGCATTCCAGAGCAACGATGCATTTAGCGCATTCTGCCGGAAATTGGATGAGAACGAACTCCTTTTTCAATGATTTTCATTATTTGTAAAACTACTACGGAACACCTATGGAGTTCTCAGTTTTCGCAAAATGCTAATGCAATTTGAGTTTCATAACGCTCATGTATCAAAATTAATGAAGTGAAAATTTGTGAAAATATATTTTCCCATAACCATTTTATGAATACATAGGTGCTGAAGCATAGTTTTTGTATACATTATTTAAAAAATAGTTTTGAATAAAATCCCAATAGTAAAAGCGTATTTTTCCAAATCTAATATATGTATGTATATATGTATGTATGTATGTATGTATAAACATACATTCAGTAGAGAAAAAACTGGAGGGAGTGCAGAAGTGGAAATTAGCTCCTACGCAAGCAATTGGCAAACGTGCCAAAAATTACGAGAACACTCGGCACACATCAAGCAAATTAAAAAAGAAGATATTCTCTTTCAAATAAGAAAACAAAAAGTGATATGGAAGAAATGTAAATAGCAAATTTATGGCATGCGTTCAAAAAAAAAAAAAACAACCTTAGCAAAATCTTTTACGAACGTCCTGGTGCTCGCACATTTACTAAAAGACTGTCGCAACTCGAAAGTTGTGATTTTCGAGCTAATGATGCCGAGTTGATCGCTATATCAAGCTTCATATTATGTAAATATGTATTGCATGCCTATTTAAAACTTGTGTTGTTTTTGAGTGGAAAGCGAAAATGCATTTCCTTTGTATGCAATGTGTAAATCAATTGAAAACTTAAAACCGTTTCCTGAAAAAAAAACATCATTTGAGGTGTGACATTCTTTTAGTAAGTGTGCGAGATATTTTTTTTGTGTGCATATGTATGTGCATACATATATCGCACACCCTCTTGGAAAGAGGCACAAGTCAAAAATCAGATCCGCATATATATATCGTACCGATTCAACGAAATTAATACAAAAACAAGTTTGACAGTAGTTTTCTAGTTAGAGAATATAATCATGAAGAAACGAATATTTGCATTAATCGGAGATAAATCATATGACTTAATTTTTTTGAGTTGTGCCTCTGTTGAAGAGGGTGTGCGATATGTATGTATGTATTTGTATAGCCGTTTTTTTAAATAAATAGAACAATGAAAATTTCATGATGATGGCTTATTGAAATACAACAAATAAATATAAATGAGTTACGGTTTGAATGGCATACAATTTGAATTTGTTTTATCTGCCCAACACCCACATTCGTATACATTTATACCTATGTATATACATATGTATTTAGTTCGTACGCACATGTGTAGCACATGCCCTGAATATAGTATTTATATATGTATGTACATATGCATAGATATAAATATATTATATGTACATAATTGTGTGTTTATGATTGACTGTTTGTGGACGGGGTGTCTAAAGAAAAACACCTGTTGACTTTTGGGTGGCTGCTGCCTCTGGCACAGCTGCATTTGCATACTTGAAAGACGCACATATAAACAACAGCTAATTTTTTCTTATTCCATGAAATGTCAGAAATGTTTTTTATTGCAAAAATTGGGACTTACCATCTTTCAATAGATTCAAAGTTGGCAATTGAACTTGGATTTTGAGTGTCGGTTTGTTTTGCACAAATACGAATGCACATACATATGTACATATATGCAAATTGCGAAACACCATTCAGGTCACATTATTATCTATTTTTATGTTTTTACTTTTTGATAACTATGGTTTGGGATATTTGAGTTTTTAGATTCTCTAGTACTTTATCACTGAAGAAACTTCTTTGTATAAAAATGTTAATCAAAAACAATTTTTATCAGGCACTTTTTCGTTTGTGATTGAGGCAGTTATAGACCTCATTCCTTGATTCATTTGATCACTATTATTCCATGAATAGCTTTGCTTTTTAACACTGAATGGACAATGGCAACGTTAGCCAACACAAATTGCAAGGCACTTTAATATACGCGTACCGTTCGTTTTCTCAGTGCTCTAGAACGATAATACCTATCTATGAATGCAAATGTAACAATGTTGATTTGCATTTCCGGCGGCTGTTATAGAAAAAGAAGTTCATTTTCAACAGCATTTGCTTTGGTTTTGTTGTATATTTATTATAAGGTATAAAGTAATTAATTCTTGTTTATGACTTAGTATAGTGTTTTTTGTTTTTGTTTTTTTTTTTTACAAAAATGAACCGTAAATGGGGCTGTTAAAGCGCGAGACCGATTCGTTGCGTTCGCGACGAGTACAACACATTAAATAAACGTATGGGCAAATTTTGAATTTGCTTAAAGCGACAACACCTAAACTAACAGCAAAGTCAACGTTGACAACGTCGCCGTCGACAGCGACGACACAATGGAAGTCTATGTACGAAGGCCAGCCGATTGATTCTATTCTAACAGCGATAGCAGCACTATTTGCGTTAGCCCCGACCGAAACATGCGCAGCGGCGACTGCCTTGCCTTCTATGTATGTATGTATATAGATAGAGAGCGGGAGCGTTCAGAATACAGCGGTCAAAATTCACTGAGCTTTGTTCCCCGAGTCAATTGTTTGTGTGTGAACTCGCTACTGCTTGGGTCTGCACGTCGCATGAGAGATTCTTCTACCGCTTTAGTGGTGGTTTTTTCTTTAGTCCAATTTGCTTGACACAGTTCGGCCAGGAATAGACATACGACTCCAGCTACACCATGGAAGTCTGATAGCCAATGTTAAGTTTGGCTAGACCTTAAACCAAGAGTAGTTTTTAGTAAAAAATCGATGGGAAAGCGCTTCACGAGAAGCTAAGTTTCGCGTGACTATTAAAGTTATTGTATAAAAGAGGGAATCGCTAGATGTTTGTAATTGCGAGCGCTGTTTTACTTTGAACGACCGAGTCCAGCGCACAATAAGAACTGACATTTTATGGAGCAGCAATACAGCCGAAACAGTTGAATGTCGAACAAAATACCGAAGTAGAAAAGCGAACTAAGTCACCAAAAGCAAAAAGCTCTGGAGTGATGCACTTCTGCAGAGAAATGAAGCTACAACACAAACAAACGTAAACCGAAAACATGCGAAAATGTAAACAACGAAAAACATTTTACGAAACTTTGCGGCAATGTAGGATTGTAGTATGTCTGCTTATTTGGGATATCTTTGTATACACTTATGTTTGTATGTACATATACATATACAAAGATGTGTACATATACATATATACATATACTTATGTAGGCGCTTAATTGAATATACATTTGTACTTACGTAGCTATGTGTAGATTCATAAATACATATACGCATACATATGTATGTGTTTAAATATGTGTATGTGCATACATATGTACATACAAACATACGCATAACGACAAAAATGTGTATATGTACATACATGTGTATGTACTTACATATATATCCCACCCATTGATCAAATGTGCATTAACTCAAAATTTTCCACTTTTGATATTCGTAAGAAAAATTCTCTAATTATACATATATTTACCTTCCACCAAAAACTCGTGCAATGTTTTGTTGCAAAAAAAACACAATAAAGTCATCCTCCACCATACGCTAAGCATGTCCTCAGACATAGGGCTGGTTTCTCCAACTCAACTTAACTTAGTTTAGCCATTTTTTGGACTTAAGTCAAAAGTTAGCCTATCTTTTACACAGCTTATTCTTGACCAAGTCTAAAAAATTGGCTAAACTAAGTTGAGTTGGAGAAACCAGCCCATAGTGTTTTTCGTTTTCTGACAAATTTTGGTAAATTTTGAGATAATACAATTTTGAAGAATTTGTGTCTAGGTTGGCGTAGCTTTGTGACCCAAACGAAATGAAACGAAACGAAGCAAGCTAAGTAAGTTCGAACCGAATAATGCCGAATAAATTTTTGCTACAAACGATAATGCGTGCTTGCCTGCGTTAGGTGTTCGCCAAAGAACTGCACAGAGGGGCGCGTCAACTGAAACGAGGAGATGGCAAAGTTTAGCGTTGGCGAAGCCACTAGGTGCTTTTTGCTTTTTGTGTGTGGGGGAGACGTAAAGAGCAAACAAAATAAATGCCAAACGCCATAGTGCGTACGTAACACACACTTTCATATATGAGCAAATATTTTCATTTGCGTTTCTATGTGTTTTTAGTGTTGCATGCATTAGTCGAAAACCTATAGCCAAATATATGCATGTATACATGTACACACATACATACATATATCTAACAAGTGTACATATGTATGCAAATATATTAAATAATCTCAACACTAAGAGGTGCATTCATACTTATGTACGTATGTACTACAAACCATATTCAAATTATTCGTTGAATCTTTGAAAGCATACCCAATATTATTAAAAACAGGGACCGTAATCATTATAAGCCAAATAATTTAAATCAGCATTTAATCATGATTTTATGATTTTTATTTTTTTCGCTCAGAGATAATTATTATTAGAGTTTTTCTGCAAACCAAACATGACAAGCGATGACGGAAATTCGTTCCAAAATAAATCATTATTATTAGAGAGTTGACATTATGGAGGTTAATTGACCTCGGATTCGGGTTCAGCGAATCTAAAACCCCGTATATATGAATTTTCTGGTTTATTTAATGAATCTTTCACTATTTGACCTTGAAATGACCTCGAATCCGAAGTGATGGAGGTTAACAGACCTCGAATTAGCATTCAGCGCGTTGTATAACATAGGGATATAAAGGTTTGGTGCAATATACAAAAACTAATTTTTATAAACCTATGATATTTATAAAATTTAAAAGGCCATCCGAGGAAAATCTCACGAGTTGTTACAATGGAGGCACATCTTAAAAAAATGCATTCTCTTCAGTATAAATAACAAGGTTGCAACGCGAAATTGTATTTAAATGAAAATTTGAAATAGATATGCTATAAGAAGTGCAAATGACCACTCATGCTCATATACCCGTAGTTGCGTATGTAACGTATACGCCCCGTTGCAACATACGCAGTCATCTAAAACGTTTATCCCCGCGCCTTACTTAAAAGTCATATTATTTAAAAGTAAAAAGTGGCATGGGAGATTTTTACACATTATTCCTTATGCACATATGTATATGTACATATATTACTTTCTTCATGTATATAACAATTTTAGAATAAATTTCGAGTTTGCCAATATAAATTGTAAAAATTGAATTTTGGTTTCTCAAATCATAGTCATCTTTTATGGGGAAAAATAAAATGCAATGTTAATTATTAACTTAGAACGAAAAATTCAAAATCACAAAATAATCAATTAATATAATTATTTTTGATCGAAAAAATAAAAACCAAATATTAATTGTTTTTTTTTTTCACCGACACAAAAAAGTGGTGTGTGCTTTTACGCAGATCCACCTACCGATTTGTATTTCGAACCACTGATTTCGAATCTGAGATCCGTTTGACTCGTCCACCCTCAAAATTTCGACTCTAGTTAAATTCACCGACCAATGTTTTGTGTGCCGGTGTTTTTATTGGTTCAACTCGAAAAAGGAAAATCCTTGTAGTTTCCAATAGGACGTACGGATAGAATTACATATGCGAGTATAGTCAATATTGTTTTACGACGCTTACATGCTGATTTTTTAGTTGAAATTAATGATTATTTTCCGTCAATGTTCAAAAACGGTTTTTGGATTTGATGATTTTTACAGCTCTTGAGCCGCTTGTATGGAGTTATTCTGAGAAAAATGCAAATCTCTCAGTCACTTAGCTCCACCAGATTCTCCTCCAAAAGGCTGTGTGTGTGTTTAATCCAGTAATTTCTCTAAACAACAATTTAAAATTTCCTTTTTACGATTCCCTTTTACTAAAACGCACGAAACACTTTGGGAGCAAAACAAGATGCAAACATTGTATTGGGTTGCTAATCGTCAATGCGGACGGTTAACTCACAAGGTGGTGAGATAGTCTGGCTAGCAGTTCAATTGTTTAATTTCAACATTAGAGAATTAGCTACCTACTTTATCTTTGTTAATTGTGGTGTTAACCATGAATGCTTCGCTCATTGAGGCAGCGCCGAAAAGAGTGAACTGAGCGGCTGGGGCACATCTGACGTTGAACATACATTCATATATACATATACAAATACAAAAACGAGTCCGGTATCTATGTGTTTGTCATTGATGGATTTTACATTAATTTCGGGACATTTTGGCCAAGCTGCATCAAAAACGAAATTGCTTTCTTACACCAGATACATACATACTTATATACATATGAGTTTAAATGTATGGTTGTATGTATTTTTTTTGTTTTTGGTTTTTTACGAGGAGGAAGCATCGAAAGCCAAACCCCGTCAGTGTGCGGCTTTAACCCGAACTAAACCTCCTACCGTCCAAGTACCGATCCCCCCGGTACTACCGTAAAATATTTCGTTGGGAGAGTCGGTCACTTCGTACCCTCCCGCCGTGTCATGTTCACCTATTTTTCCGCACTTCTTACCTTCTTACCATAGATCTTCTTATGCCATCTTCCAGTCTTATGTCTGTATGTATGCAGGTACTACATTTGTACATACCCTGCAGGAAACTTAATTAATTTAAAGGTAATGTATAAACTACTTTATTTTCAATGATAACTAATTGAAGTTCTCGCTACTTTACCTGCAACGAACTCATTTATTTAACATGGCGATGTCCTAGGAAGCAGTCAAATACCTTTTCCTGCATGTAATTTCAACTAATTTGAAATGCATTTGGATTAAACAACTTTAAGGTCAGTCGTTTGAATTCGCTTTCGTTCTGCACTTCATAGATGCTTTTTCTTAATGAAAAAAAAACCCGAAATTAAAAATTTAAAATTAAATGTTTCGCCTAATGAGATTTGAACATATGTTTCTTTTGAAAACGCTTGCGTTCTGCGCTTCACAGTTGCTTTTTCATACTCCCAAGACACAAATTGTTTCTTTGAGTAAAAAATGTATCAAAATTCGAAACATTTACTCATTGCATTTGTTTAAGTTAAATTAGTTGATGAACAAAAAAATCACTTTCTTCCATCAGGATACATATCTACTATTTCATACATATACAGCTCCAAAAATATTCACTGTAGCAGTAATAGCAGTGTTAAAACACTTAAAATATTAGTGTGCGAAAACGTTTAACCCACACTCGTACATTTTGTTTGAGTGGGTTAAAAGCATGACTTTGTTTTCATATCTTTCAAGTTTGTGTGCATAAACATTCTTTGGAGAGCACTTAAAAACAAAAAAAAAGACTGATAAAGAGAGCGTTAATGTCGAGACCAGCTTTTTATTTAATTTTAGGCGTTTTAAGCATTTCTTATAAAATGAGTAAGCGAACCATCAACAAAATTTTCGAATCAATACACACATACATATGCACATAAATACAGATGCATACGCAGTATATGTAGGTATGTATGTACATGTACAATTACAAACATGCATATCTACAATAATGTTTATTTAAATAGTACTTCAATATGCATACATATGTACCTATGTATGTATGAATGTGTGAATGTATGTACATATCAATAATTAAGTGCCGGCTTTTTCTATTTGAGCTATTTTATCTGCCATTGTTACGGTTAAGATATTTATGTGAGAAGGAGACGAAAAGTTATAATTGTGGACAAACAAAAAAGTTAGAACACTTTGCGACTAAGGCAACAATCAGTTAACTTTGTTTGTATGTACTATATATGCACATACAATTATAGTAGACAGAGATATATATATGTATGCACATATAATAAAAACATTTTTAACAACCTTGAAATCAAAAAATGAAAGAATAATTAGTTTAGGTTTAAAGCTGTATGTCTTATCAGTTTACTTACACAAAAGTACAGCGTGTCTATGGAGACTTTGTGGCACTATGTCATTATTCGCATTGTTACTACAAAGTATACATGCATACGTATGTATGTAATATGTATGTTGTATAA